GTAAGGTATTAATAAGGGAGGATGGGGTGGTTGATGTTGGAGGTTGTGGGGGTAGAGGTGTTGAAGTTGGGCATGCTGGGAGAGTGGAAATGTTCCTTGAGGGTTGATTATTGGCTACTGTACTAGTAGGCATTGGTGAAGGGGTAGTTATTGCAGTGTTCGGAGCCGTGGTCAAAGGAGAGCCTGGGGTCGGGGAATCAGGTGGCTTTACTTCGTTGGGGCTATTTGATAAAGGGGCAAGCCTCATTGCCCCTAATAGTGGAGATATATTTTCATTACTGGCCATGGGAAGCCTGGATTATGTTGGGGATAAAAACAGTCCACCCCTCAGGGTCCCCTTGAGGGGTAAGGGCTAGATAACTAAATCAGGGGAATACCGTGCCCATGGCTCCCTCAGGCCGTTCAGGACTGGCACAAAGTCAGCCTTTCATCCTTTCAGCACGGCTCTCACACCTTAGGAGGTGGATAGCAGAAGGGTTTGGTGAAGGGACAGAAACAAAAGTGGGAAGGGAAAAAAAAGACCATGCATAATTAGTTGAGTCGAGGGCTGAGTCCCAAGGTTGGGGAGTTCCCCATCATTGGGTCCCAGTCTCCGCCTCCTAAGCCCCCCCACGACAACAACGGGCAAGGGATTGGGGGGGCTTCTATGGTGGGGAGTATGTTAAATATGTTAGTTACCCCTTTGATGCTCAGAACACCACGTTTTCTGTGTTTACCCTCAGTTCCTTTGTTATTATCTCAGAATTAAAAAATATCTATTTTTTTTGATAAATAAATAGTAAGTTTTCTATATGTGCTCTAGAATAATATTGAATAATCTATATGTCATTAAAAACTAGAATAGAGAAGTACTTATTTTCCATAAATAATATATTTGTGTGTAACCATTGAAAAATAAAGGCCACTACGTGGCACTGCCAGCTCACCACCTGTTTCATTGAGCACCCCCAACCCTCGCTCCTGCTTCTTCATGCCTTGTTGACAAATGTGGGTCTAGTGAGACCTTACAGAGTAGAAGAAAAATTCATTAATATTTTCCTCACCATGAGAATTCACCATCATATTAAAATATTTAACAGAAACTTAAGAAAAAGAAAGAGCATAGAGAGCAGTCATCTACATACAAAGAAAAACTGAAAACTTCAAAAGGTAATTCATCACTAGCATGTTTTTTATCTGTTTTTTGTTTCTTTCAGTTTCCTTTTGTGTTTGTCTTTATTGTTTTTTATTTGTTACTTTTGAGTTTCTGTTTTTGTTTGAGTTTGGGTTCGGGTTATCATGCTGTTTTTGACAATGTTAATGGAAACTGTATTTTATATGTTTATGGTTGAATATAAATTTACGTAATTATTATGAAATCATACAGGATAAAATATTGATATTGCTTATGGAGTTACATGACATAGAACTTAAGAAAATACTTTTTTTTATTTGCCTAACAATTTCTTTTTATTTCAGAAGAATACCAGCGACTGCTGGCAGAATTTAGCAATTCTGATTTGAGCAGCATATCTGATGATGATGACTGGCCTTCATCCCCAGTCCGGCGGAGAGAACTCTTTCCCGAGCTGTGTGCCAACACTGAGAGTACAGCATCTGAGTCTGATGAAGAGAGCAACGGAAATGCTAGAAGGCCCCCCGAAGTTACAAGTAGCACTGAAGTTACAAGAAGCACTACAGCTGCACAGACTGGACCCAGGAGAAATCTCAATACTAATGAATGTTATTTTTTCAGGAAAAATATAAACTTCAATCACAGATTTATTGTAGATGTTGATAATCATTCTCAGGGAACTAATTCTCAATCCACAGTTCTCTCCCCTGTAGATTATTTCATGGCTTACCTCTCAGCTGAAATTTTAGATGCCTTGACTCTAGAAACACAGAAAAAATACATGTCCAAGCAAGGAAAGCCATTATCTCTAACAGTAGTTCAAATGAAAAAGTTAATAGGAATAAACTTCCTTATGTCAGTATTAAGATTCCCTAGAATTAAAATGTACTGGCAAAAGAAGACAAGGATTTCTTGTATAGCTGATGCCATGAGTCGTGACATGTTTTCAGTAATCAGAGCTTCTCTGAAAGTCTTTGATGAGAGTCTGTTGAATGCAGCACAGAGGAAATCAGACAAATTTCATAAGATAAGACCACTCATAGATTGTGTTCGTTCACGCTGTTTGGAGTTAGACAGACCTCAGAATGTCTCAGTTGATGAAATGATCATTCCGTTTACAGGCAGAACAAACCTTAAGCAATTTACACCTCGGAAACCAAACCCACATGGACTAAAGATCTTTGTTTTGGCTAGCAGTGATGGCCAAGTCCTAGATTTTGAGTTCTTCCAGGGTAAGGAAGACTTACTTTTGAGTGTGCAAAGAACTGGACTTCATCTCCCAGAGTGGGATATCCTTAAGATAGGAGAAGCTGCAGTCCTAAGATTTGTAAAGTCAGTCAATAGAGGGACTAGTTTCTTCTTTGATAGGTTCTTTACTACATCTAAGCTCTTAGAAATTCTCTCGTCACTAGGAATGGGAGCTACAGGGACAATGAAGAAGAACCTCGTGCCAAGACAGTGTCGCCTGAAGACTGAGAATCAGTTAAAGAGATCTGGCAGAGGTTCCTCTGACTGTGCAGTGAGAGATGATTCTGCTTTTTGTATAACAGTATGGTTTGACAAAAAACCTATCATCCTAGCATCTAATGAACATATTATTCAGCCAGTATCTACTTGTCAGAGGTGGTGTAAAAAAGAAAAACGCCACTTAGAGGTGCACCGTCCTAGGGTAGTTGAACTATACAACTCAAAGATGGGAGGCGTTGTTATTATTGATCAGGTCATTAGCTATTGCAGAAGTGCAACACGTTCTGTAAAATTCACTGTTCGGGCAATGTTGCATATTTTGGACCTCTCCTGCACAAATGCATGGTTAGAGTACAAAAAATATTGTGAAAAAAAATTATGTTGCCATGGACAATATGGATTTTAAATTAGAAATAGCTTATTCTTTGATTTCTGAAGATGTGCTAAATGATGACAACAGTGAGTCTGAGATATCAGAGGGGCGTGCTGACATTTCTGGAAAAAGAACAAGGCCCCTCCCCACTGCTGCAAAGCGTACTAACAGTGCATGCCATATGCCTGATGCATTACCTCCTTATGCGTCTAGAATGAGATGTCGATATCCAGGGTGCAATGAGAGGACTAAGTTTTCTTGCAAAAGTTGCAAAATTTTTCTTTGTCTTTCATATGAAAGAAACTGTTATTCTCTTTTCCATTTGCCATGAAATATTTGACAATTAAGTTTATAAATTAGAATGTTTCTGTTAATGAAGAAGTATGAAAAAAATAGTTTCTTTTCATTAAAGATTTGAAGAGTTGATAAATATTCCCACATTTCTACTAGGATGCACTGCAACCAATTTAATGAATGTTAAATATTTGTTTTAATGAAAAATGTCTTGCACTGAAGTTGAATTTGTGATTTTTCGTTAGTGAAAGTTTTTGTGAGTAATAAAAATTATACCTCAGCATTGATTTTTGATGTGAGACTTAATCTTAAGGAAAAGAAATATATTCTTATTTTCTTATATTCCAAATGTATAACAAGGAATGTACCTGGAATTATCAGATTTGTATTTTTTCTAAGAGGGATAATAAATATATTGTCAATTTACACAGTTATTTCATTGCAACGTCAGTTTTTTGTCTAAAATTCTACTTTGCGGACATGCTAGAGCCCCGACGGAACAAATTTGGGCCAAAATTTAAAGGTCAATATCTCGGGAACTACTTATGATACACATCTAAAAATATGTTTGTAGCCTTTTTAGGCCATGACAAATACGTTGCTAAAATATCATAAAAATCTAAAGTAAAAAAAATTTTCAGGGCTGAATGGGATATATGTATGTATATATATATATATATATATATATTATAAGTCATATATAATTATGTTATACATATGTATATTATATTGATATATATTAATATTATATATATTTATAAATATATAGATCTATATCTATATCTATCTATCTATATATCTATCTATCTATATATATACATATATATATATAAATATAAATTGTATCATTAGTTTGTATTAACTAATGATGATTTATTCCTTTTTTGTTATTTTATCACGCATGTCCAATTTCTGTTTTTTTTGTGCTGAGCATGATGGGAAATAGAGGTAACGCATGGGAATTTTGAGTAATAAACAAAGATTCATATTATGTTTTTGAAGTTGTATTATAAGTTGCAGTTTTATTTTCTTGTTGTTTTGGGATGCTAAAATTGTTTACGAGCATCTTTAGTAGCAAATAAGTATATTCCCAAAAAAGAGATCTTCTGTTCTAAGTGGAAAACAGGGATAACACTTCACGCTCACCAGATGAGGCTATGTTGTAAGTTTGATTTCTTTATAATTTGCATTATTTTGACATAATTTTATTTTTCTTGGAAATTCATATGATTGATTTGGTATTTGTTTCATTTGTTGTGCCCATGTTATAAGATTTGTGTTATTTATGTGTTAATGTTTATTGCAGGTCGAAATAAATCATAAACCATTATTGTTTCACGGGTCACCAGAAATAATACGGCTTGTCATAATGGTTTATGATTTATTTCGACCTGCAATAAACATTAACACACAAATAACACAAATCTTATAACATGGGCACAACAAATGAAACAAATACCAAATCACTCATATGAATTTCCAAGAAAAATAAAATTATGTCAAAATATTAATGCAAATTATAAAGAAATCAAACTTACAACATTGCCTCATCTGGTGAGCGTGAAGTGTTATCCCTGTTTTCCACTTAGAACAGAAGATCTCTCTTTTGGGAATATACTTATCTGCTTCTAAAGATGCTCAATACAATTCTAGCATCCCAAAACAACAAGAAAATAAAACTACAACTTATAATACAACTTCAAAAACATAATATGAATCTTTGTTTATGACTCAAAATTCCCATGCGTTACCTCTATTTCCCATCATGCTCAGCACAAAAAAAAAAACAGAAATTGGACATGCGTGATAAAATAACAAAATAGGAATAAATTATCATTAGTTAATACAAACTAATGATACAATTATGACAAGCCGTATTATTTCTGGTGACCCGTGAAACATAAATATATATAACATAAGTATATACATATAATATAAATATATATAGATATAATATACACATGTATAATATAGCTATATATTATACATGTATAATATATACATACATATATATGTATGTATGTGTATATGTATTATGTATTTGATATAAATACAAGTAGCACTAATATAACTTTCATGTTCAACAGCTGCTTTTGGAAGTCACCCTCAACAGTGCCTTGCTGTCTGCCTTCATTGTAGAGGATCATCAGTAGTGAGTACAGATATTTTTTTTTAATCTTTTTTATTGACTAATGTAAATGTAGATATTGCAGAATAGAGTCACACGTCACATGATAACCTTCAATTTTTTTGGTGAACTAATCTATCCTTTCCACTATGCAGTCAACTCTTCGAGAACTGCTTGCCCCTTGCAGAAAACGCCTTCCAGATGGTTGACCTGGCCCTGAATGTGTGCTTCCTAGGCCCATTCCTCTTAAGGGTGAGTAGTTACCCTTTATGAGTGATATTGTTTGCACTCAGCATTTCCCTATTCTGTTAGCAGTCTATATGTAGATTCCAAATAACAGGGAAAATTGTTTATTCTTGCTTACAAATTTTCAGTAAGAATGTAAGAAGAGTTTTCATACATATATTTCTGTAATAGTTGCTTAAGGCAAAGTCATTACTAGTTCTCTATGAAGTAGAATGATGATGAGCTTGGTCCACTTATATTTCCAGATGGCTTTAGCAGAAAGTATGTGGAAATTTCTGCTGTCCCGTTACACCATTGCAGATTACTGCACTATACCAACAGCCATCTTTGGAGTGATTATTGGGAGGTCCTTTGTGTGTAAGTTGGACTTTTGTGTATTTGAAGAAAATTAATAGTATAATTGTTAAGTATAGTAGTGTGACTATACTTACAAGTTTTGTGTATAAACAATCTCAATGTATGAATGACCCTAATGATATATGTGGTAAGGGTTGCATTAATACCAACCCTTACTACGATGACATATTGAAAATAAACTGTGGCTGACATACTACTATAAAAATTACAGGTTTCCAATTTATGAGGAGCATCTTCTTACTGAAGGCCACAGAAATGAGAGAATCTGCAGAGATATCCTATTGGTTTCTCATTAGAAAGTTCCTGTCCGAAATTCTAACAGGCTGTTTATTAATTGCTGGGCTCAAGCATGTTGTAAGTAACGATATGTATTCTTTTGCAGAAAAGGTCATTTTAGTTTTTGATATATCTGATAATGTATATATTGCAGAAATAAAGTGCAAATATGCATAAACAGCGTATAGCAAAGTAGAGTAGCGTGGTAGGTGTGGCACAAGTTCTTTCTCCTGCGTTCACTACAGCATAATTTGCAGTTTGAGTGTTTTTTCGACTTCACTTCTTTGGAGGGACCGCATGACTTGACCTACGGATCTTGGATCTACTCCACAGTGAAAACAATAAGTAGTATTGGCTTTGGTGACATGACGTGCAAGACAACACACTGCAAGCTTTGGGCTTCAATATCCCTAGTCTGTTCTTTGGTAGGTTAGATGACTCCTCTTCACATTTCACAAAAATCTACTGCAATATATTTATTATTTTATGTCTTATGCAGTTGTGACTAGAATATATAGTGTGAAGAGGACACAGGATGCTTTCTTATTTGATGTTTTATTGTAGTATTGGTTAGCATCAAAAAAATCTACGCTGATGAGGAATATCAGCAAACTACCCAAATTCATCACGCCATACAGACCAAAAGTGTCTCGCGGGTTAGTATCTGTCTAGCTTGCTTCCTGTTTCTTTATTCAGGATAAATGTGAAATGAACTGAAAATCTGACAGAGCCAAGTTGCCGTTGTCTTCATAATTCCCTTTTGATTTCATTGCTGTAGTTTTTTAAAAAATTTCCCGTAATTACTTTTCATCAGGCACATTGTGTTCTGTGGCTTCCTAGACGCTCAGAAGATCCGCTCCTTTGTGACACATTGGACAAACAGGGGAGTTGACCTTGTCTTTCTGGGCGAGTGAGTATATTGTGATTTATACAGTAACGATTCATATACTTAATAGATTTAAGGTCTAAAGGGTGATTATAAAAGCCTCATTGATGACTCCCTCACTTCACCAGTTTCTTATAATCAGGTATCATTGGGAGGTATGTTCCTAAGGAAATTATGTTCTTTATAAATTCTGTATATTCCTAAAGCTGGAGTGTGTCAAAGATCAAAATTATATATATATATATATATATATATATATATATATATGTGTGTGTATATAAATATACAGATACATATAAATGCTTATATACATATATATGCATATATATACATATATATATATATATATATATATATATATGCATATATATACATGTATATACATATATATACATATATATACATTTATACATTTATATACATATATATGCATATGTATGTATACATATATATACATGTATATACATATATATGCATATGTATGTATACATATATATACATGTATATACATATATATGCATATGTATGTACACATATATATTCATATGTATACATATATATGTATGTATATATATGAATATATATATATATATATATATATATATACATATATACATACATATTATATACATACACATATATATATATACATATACACATATTCAAATACATATATACATGTATATTCAAATATACATATATATATGTATATATATGTATATATATGTATATATATGTATATATATGTATATATATGTATATATATGTATATATATACATATATATACATATATATATATATATATATATATATATATATATATATATATATGTACATACATATATATACACCCATATATGTGTATAGCATTGTATATGTATATGTATGTATTTATATATATATACATATATATACATATATATACATATATATATATATATATATTTATTTATTTTATTTTATATATATTTATATTTATTTATTATATTTATATTTATTAATATTTATGTTTATTTATTATATTTATATTTATTGATATTTATTAATATATTTTATTTTAATGTTTTATTGGTGGATTGTGCTACCAAATAGTTGTAGGCCTTGGAGACAGAATTGGTTTGTGCTGCTGACAGCAATGAAAGCAGCTCTGTGTAAAGCAATTGTCGTGGCCATTGCCACTCACAGACAACAGACTGTCAAAGTTTTTGACTAACTTGGATCTCGTAAAATGTAGTGAGGATTAACATCAAGTATGGGAACAGCCCTATAACTATACTTGCTATGATATGTAAGGTGGAAGTTTACTGGTCTTTGTCTGAATGCCAACTACCTGTGCAGTTCATAATAATCATCCCCCCCCCCCCCCACCAAACTCTGTATGGTTTTACCCCTAATTTTGTTGTGCTGTTATGCACATCTGGCATGATCTGGACAATGGACAACAAAGCTTAAGCCAAATCAAAAATGTAGAAAAAGATTCCAGGGAAAATGTGAATCCAGCTCTAATTGTTAATTAATATGACACCATATCTCTGGTACTTAATTAATCAAATTTGCAGTTGTACTCGGGGCAAGGATGATGAAGACCTATTCCCACCACTCCTAGACTTGCATCCTGTTCAAGGCCTGGTTCAAGATGGTCAACAACTTGTTGCGGTAATCATGATTACTTTACTCCTGTTCAGACTTGAAAGAAGATTGACCCCTTCCATGCAATTTTACTTTATTAGTATTTTTTCAGTCTTGTCTAGTGTAAAGACTCTTATGTAAAGGACTTGAACTTGTCCATTTTCTTTCCAGATCCATGAAGCCTGTGCTTGTATTATTCTTTCAAACCAAAAGAATATGGACCAAGAAGGGGAAGATTTCGGAAACATCTGCTTGGCATTGTGTGCCTCGCGTTCCACTACTTCTCCAGTCTATTTGGAATTGCTGCAGTCTAAGAGCAAGGTCGCTTTCGCATACCAGTTGGTACCTGTGAGACTAAGTTAATTTGATAAAGCTGATTTACATGAATATTTTAGATTCATATGTTAGATTTATATTTTACAGAAACTCTTTGATGAGCTTTTCCAGTCAAGACGAGAACTCAATCTGAGTGTCTTCTGCTATGCAGAGTTTAAACTTAGACTGGTGGGCTATTCATGTCTTGTCCCTGGATTCTCCACATTACTGGCAAACCTTATTTTGCCAGATATGGCAAAAGATATGGGCAATGTATGTACATCTGATAATCTAAGTTCAGTGATGTTTTTGTTAGTAATAAGTTCTCATAAGGGCTATTGATATATTAGGTTAGTGAAGCTTGAAACTTGTATCACTTAACTGAATGCTGTATTTCTAGCAGACCTATGAGCTCATCTGGGAGAAAGAGTACAACTTTGGCAGAAGCTCTTTTATCTACACTACCCGTTTGTCGGCCTCTTTTGAAAGCCTGACATTGCATGAGGCTGTTGAGTAAGTATTATTTAGAAATGATAATTTTTGTATCAATATAATGGACACTGATATCAGAAAAATAAGACATGAGTATATTTCATTTTCCTTTAACTCTCAACAGATTATGCTACAAGAAGTTGGGGCTCATCCTTTTAGGCATCAAAACTGATGAGGGCAAAAGTAGCAAGGTAATTGTTTATCCTAGCAATGCATATTTTGTCATCCCAGAAAATACCGTGGGATATTTTTGCACTCGGGAAATTGAGATTCTTCAAAGGTGGGTACTTCTCTCTCTCTCCTTTTCTTTCTCACTCTCTCCTCTCTTTTTCTTTTGCTTTTTATTATACTTTGTTAACAAGATTATGATGTTGATGAATGTGGGTATCTTATTCCATTTTTTTCTTGCTAGAGACTATAAACTATCTTAGAGCCTAACAAAATACAAACAAAAGGGACACAAAAATTACAAAAACTTTGCAGCAAGAGTAGCACAAGGAAATGTAAATAAAGATGACCACATCACACCACATAAAAACAGACTAAAACTATCACGTATTCTAATCCATAAAATCATACAAGGAAATTACCCAAACTGACAATTTCCTATAAAGACATGTTATGTTAACAGGTGTCCGTACAGGGTAAAAAGAACTCAAAATATATCGAAAGATCAAATACAGAATGCAGAGTTATGTAAATCTGAGGACTGGTGATCTGGAACCAATTACCGGAAAATATTAGAAATATCTGAAACCAAAAGACATTTGAAACAAAGCTGAAATAACATCTATTGAAAAATTAATGACATCAGGCATTTAAACATTAAACCAACATCACTTTTGATGCTAAAGTTTTGTCTAGTCTTGTTAAGCAAGCATTGTATAATATCTATGTATATAACATCTAATTACACGAAGTAAACACCATGTTTAACCCAATGACGCCGGGTGTACAAAAGGAAAATAAAACTCTACGCTCTGGCAAACAAAGGCAGCGCGCCGACTTTGAGCGCAGGAGTACGGGGCGTCAGCCCGAATCACTGGCTCGCCGCGCTTTGGCGCGCCGCCGGCTGGTTTGGCCGCACGCCACCTTTCGAGCGATTTGTTTACACGCGTATCGCCGTCACCCGGCGGCAAGGGGTTAAATAGAATACCTATGTAATTAATGGAATAAAGTGTTCTGATTTGGAATTGGAATTTCCAAATCCAAATGCTCTTGTTAGAAGAGTCCATGGCTCCTGCTCCTCCTCACCGCAAGCATGTATCAACTGAACAGGTTCCCCTTACAGGCCCCTAAAATCGTGGTTAGCAATATGGTCTGTGATCTTGATATTTCTCAGCCTTGCTCCACAGTGGCTTTGGAGAGTAGCTCTGCCCATTATGCAGTCCATGCAAGTGTTGAAAAGTGTTGGTGCAAGGACTTAGCCTTGCCTCACCTGACAGGCCCCCACCACACAGGATAGCTATTAAACCAATGATCCGTGTTGGAATTCCCCTAAGTCTCAGGATCTCCCATAGTGATATGCCATGCACTGAGTCAAACACCTTCTTGAGGTCAGTGTTGGCTGCAGGAAGCCCATGACCAAAGGGTGTTTCACAATGACACAAAGCTCTAGGTCTATTGTGGAAATACCAGGAGTGAATCCAGACTGCTCTGGTCACTGGTGCTTTTGTAGGTAGTCATGGATATGTTTCAGAAAATGCCGCAAAAATCTTGCCTGGGATACTGAGCAGTCTGATACCATGTAGTTGCTACCCTTTCCCTTCCAGAGAGGGATGACCATGCCCCTCAGCAGCCTCTATCTAGATGCAAATTCTGCTTGCTGATGAGGGGAGGGAGCCACATGTCCTGCTCAGGGAGGCTGGTCGGTGTCTTCACCCAGAGCAGAGATCTCTAAGCACATCCACCAAGAGTGAAACACATAGCACTGTCTACTGCTATGTGCTCCCCCCCCCCCTCTCTCTCTCTCTCTCTTAATCTCTCTCTGTCTCTTAATCTCTCTCTGTCTCTTAATCTCTCTCTGTCTCTTAATCTCTCTCTCTCTCTCTCTCTCTCTCTCTCTTAATCTCTCTCTCTCTCTCTCTCAATCTCTCTCTCTCTCTCTCTCAATCTCTCTCTCTCTCTCTCTCTCTCTCTCTCTCTCTCTCTCTCTCTCTCTCTCCCTCTCCCTCTCCTCTCTCTCTTAATCTCTCTCTCTCTCTCTTAATCTCTCTCTCTCTCTCTCTCTCTCTCTCTCTCTCTCTCTCTCTCTCTCTCTCTCTCTACCTCACTGTGTAGTGCAGCGGTAGCGATCTCGTCTAGCAATCTTGCTGACCAGTGGATGGTAACCCCGGCCATTCCTTGCACACAGGGATAATTTAGAAGCAAAATAAAACAGACACTATGTCATACCAAGAATATCCATTGTAACAAATGGAATCAAATTAAATTAATTAAATTAATCACTCTTTTTTTCTCTCTCTGTCTGACTCTACCCCTCTCTCTATATATCTGTCCTCCCTTCTCTATCTCTTTTTCCTTCCCTAATTCTCTGTCTCTGCCCCATCTCCTCCCTTCTCTCTCTCCCTTTGTCTCCCTCTGTCTATCTCCTACCTTTTTTCTCTCTCCCTCTCTGTGTCTCCCCTTCTCTCCTGTCTGGCTTCCCTTCTCTGTCTCCAATTCTCTCTCTTCCTCCCTCCTTCCTCTCTCTTTCTCTCTAAACTCTCTCTCTCTCTCTCCCTCCCCGCTCATATCTTTTCTCTCCTCTCTCTGTCAATCTGCTCTCTTTCTCCCCCTTTCTCTCTCTCTACCTCACTCTTTTTTCTCTCTCTGTCTGACTCTACCCTTCTCTCTCTATATCTGTCCTCCCTTCTCTATCTCTTTTTCCTTCTCTAATTCTCTGTCTCTACCCCATCTCCCTTCTCTCTCTCCCTTTGTCTCCCTCTGTCTATCTCCTACCTTTTTTCTCTCTCCCTCTCTGTGTCTCCCCTTCTCTCCTGTCTGGCTTCCCTTCTCTGTCTTCAATTCTCTCTCTTCCTCCCTCCTTCCTCTCTCTTTCTCTCTAAACTCTCTCTCTAACCCTCCCTGCTCATATCTTTTCTCTCCTCTCTCTATCTATCTGCTCTCTTTCTCCCCCATTCTCTCTCTCTTCCCTTCTGCCAATCTGTCTCCTCTTTTTTTCTCCCATTTTCTTTCCCTTCCTTCTGTCCGTCTTGCTCCTTTCATCTCTTTTTTTTCTGCCCATTTCAGTTTGTCTCTTCCTCCCTCGCTCATATCTCCCTTTCTCTTTTATCTTACTGAATGTGTCTCATTCTCCCTTCCTCTGTTTTCTAACAATGGAGTTTGGTTCTGTAATGTAAGGTGGATGTAAATACATTTCAGCATTCATTCTCTCCATGGCTCTTGTTACTAGATAACTTTAATTTTTCAAGTTCATTTTTCTTTTTTATTGCAAAAGTTCTAAGGACTCACAAAATGCTTTTTCATATTTTCTTTCTATGCAGAGCTTCATTATATTGTTCCTTGTGCAGTCAGGATGAGGAAGGACTGTTTGATGGCCCTTGTAAATGTGATAAGACTGGTAAGTATATGTGCATCAATATTTCCAGTTTGGTTATGATTCTGCAAGTTTGTTGTTAAAAAGGACATTTTCCATTAAGTAATATCATTTTTCTATACACTTTCGCTCTCTTTTATCTTTACAGAAAAGAGAAAGATGAAAGTTAAGACCCAGGATTTTGACAAGTATGTTTTTTTTTTCTTTTCTTTTTCAGAGAATTATCTGGAATGATTATGATTTGTGGTTTTTTTTTTTTTTGGTTTTAAAGTACAGTCAATTAGGACTTGTAAAATACTTGATTTTCAAAATTGACCAGCTATGAATACTTACTAAACTGTTGTATTCTCTGTACAGGACCTCACTCTGTGCTTCTGGTGCTGGACCTGCAAGACCTTTACAGACAGTAGATGAGAATTTTGTTGGCTCCTCTGAGAAAAAGTTTGAGGAGTTCATAAAGGTAATGTCTTAGTTGGTTCTTAATAAGCATATCCTTTGATTGCATGTTTCGTATAACCTGTAGATATCGTTTGTGGGCTGCAACTGATTTGTATTCCATTCAATTTTCTCTTCTTGTCAAGACACAAGATGAGCTGAAGGCTTTTGATTTAGACGGCCATGTAGTTGTCTTCGTCTTAGCCAATCAAGATTCGCCAGCCAGTGGACTCGAGAACCTATGCCACCCTTTGAGGTCCAATTGTGTCCATCCTTCTCACCTCCATAGGATCATCATCATAGGACCACTCGACTACCTGAGGAAAGAATGGGTCCAGTTACGGGGAATCCCTGAGATTTACTTTGCTGATGTGAGTTATCCAGCAGTTTTTGATGGTTGCAATAGTAGTGCCTTTTGGTTTGCCTTCCTGTAGAATTTAGATTCATTCTTTTTACTCATGCTGGTTCTCAAGTGGAGAGGTCATTCTAGACATGTGCATGAAAATATGTGCATCTCATGAGGTTTGTCATCATTCATTAACTTTGAAGTTGCTTCACTTCTTGTTTTTTCCATTTTCATAATGTATTTCTTTGCTGTAGTAACTGAGGAGCAAAGTAAATTAAAATAATTTTGTGCAGGGTTATCCATGGGCCAAAGAAACCCTAGAGGTTGTGAAACTGGCCTCTTGCCAGATGTGTGTCCTCCTCAATGCTGGGCCAGAGAAACTGGATTCACATTTCAACTTCGCATTTGAAGTGCTGAAGGTGACTTCAAGTCAGTTAGTTCGCACCAAGAACAAGGCAGCTATGAGTGAGTACAATTGATTCTTTAGGGAACTTGTGATGTTACACATTATTTTTTAAAAATAATGTTAACCCAGAAAGGACAGTACATTAATTCTTGTTGTATTATCTAAAAATATTTTACAGTGTTTGGCGGTGCTCCCACAGTGAACGGACAGTGCAACTTCTGTAAGAGGCTTCCTGTTCTAGTGAGCCATATCACTGATGAGCCGATGACACCTGCCAATGACACCCTTGCAGTGGCCGTAGGATGGACAATTCCTCCTGCACTCTGTCTCTCTTTTGCATATTTGGTAGGGTTCTTTTGAAGCGTCACCTTATGTGTACTATATGTGTACTGCTGAAATTTTTATATTTACCTTTCTATTATCTTTAACCCAAATTAACATTTATTATTAATTATTTGATTATTATTTAATTATTGTTTGATTATTAATTATTATTAATTATTTATAGAACTATGACAGATCAGACATCCTCAGCTTTGCATGCACACTCCTGCAAGGCGGACTATCACCTGAATCCCTTGTGAAACAAAGTTGTGTTGGGTAAGACAGTGTTCTGTTTTCAGTATCCTCCGATAACAGTAAGATTCAAGTGATATTTCAAATATAACAACTAATATCAGTAAAACTACAGTTGGTA